ACATATCCAGATCCATTAACAGACCCTTTCAACAGTGGGTTCCCAGACCTTTCATCATCTTGGTAAATCTCCCTTCCCCAGAATCTTTGATCAAGACCCAATACTGAAGTGGTAGACAGTTGGCTGCTTTTTAGTGAACCTTTCTTTCTTTTTTGCCTGAAGTCTGTCCAGTTCTCATGAAACCCTAAGGTTCTCTGGACAACACTTTGATAAACTCTAGAGAGTAAAGGATTGCTTTGATTAAAAGCTATGATGTAAACCAGGGGTGTCAAACTGCCAGCCCACAGGCCGGACACGTCATCCAGAAGCCGTGCCCACCCCATTGCCAGCAATGGCAAAACTGTCCTAATACGTTGCACGACGTCACATGATGTCACGAGTTTGACATGTCTGATGTAAACTGAGGACCCTGGAGATTTGGAGCTCTCCCATAATTTTTCTCAAATTCTATTCATGTGATCAAAGGAAGAAAATATTCAGAAACAGGCATATGAACCATTTTAACTAACTTAATTAGAATTAAATTAAAACAATTTTACTTCTGTTCTGACTACTTGCTTTTTCGTGTTTTTCGTTTACATACTTTGAGAAGTGCGGGTGCTAGAAGGGCCATTCCAAGGCAAAGATTAACCAAGAACTGGAAAGCGCTGTGCAGCCCTATTTTGCATTGATAATCTATACATGGCATCATTGGGGGTGTAATGACGTTTCAATGCATGAAGGCAAAGAGAAAGAAATAGCAGGCACTTTCAGGAAAAGTGCCTAAAAATATGTTTTAAAAATTAATTGAAATCATGGAGGGCTTTTAAAGGCCTAACCACAACAAATTTGTGATTATTTATTTGTGAAAGATTAAGTTGACTATGTTGGGACATTATGCAAATTACACAGAATTATATTACAGTCCTAATGCAGGACGTCCTATTATTAATGTATAAGCAAAATTTCAACCAATTATATGATAAAATAGCAGCTGCTGTTAGGCAGTAAGAATTGTTGTTTAAATTATTCTGCACAAGTGAGTGTTGTACTTTCCAAGATCAGAATTTATCACTGCAAGCCTGCTTAGAAGTAGAGAGGCTCTGTAATGTTTGGTGTGGATTTAATCCTCCCAATAAGTGGATTAAAGAGCCTTAGTGAAAATCTGGCCACTGATAAATTATACACTTGTACTGTACCTTTTGTTATCACAATTGCTTCAATTCTCTTATAAAGTTTATTTTGAAAGACTGTTTAAGAAATTCTCAAATAACAATAAAAATGCCATATTTTCCAAAATATTTCTCTACTATTTCATGCACTCAGAGCTTTTTTTTTCTTTTTCTTTGCATGCTGATTTACATTTAGGGTGTGTGTTTCCTTTCTCCAATGCCGGACTACGCCTCTCCCATGATTAATTATTTTAAAATGGCTAATGGGTTATTGCCTTGGCAGCAATGTGTCTTCCTGTCTCGTCTCTCTCACACACATACACACAGACATTATGAGAAGAAGTGACATTGCAAGAATAATAAATTAGAGGATTGCCTCCCAGGATAAAATGTTATTGATATAAAATAGATATGTCATTCTCCCCATGAGTACACTGCTGCAAATTCTTTTATTCTAAGCATTTAAGCCAACTCTCCTGTAGGACAAGCATATATTTTTCCTTTAAATATGGAACAAGGCATCTGGCTGATTATAACTCAACTGCTATTACAGTTCCTGGATTCCCACGGAGAATGAATGCTTTATTTTGGACCCTAAATTTTATCATATTAAACTTTAATTTTTCTTAGGGAGAATCTGTACAGGGAGTCAGCAGTGAACAGAAATGAAAGCAGAGTAAAGATCTGTTCCTTTAGCTCTCCAACCTCTTGTCTATTCAGCTGGAGGATTGAATGGGAGGGACAGTCATATTAATTGGACCAGGACCAAACCTCTCCATGTGATACTAATCTGCTGGATTAGGAGTCACACAGGGGGGTTTGCTGATATTCAAGCCAATGGAAATACAACCCCCCTTCAAACCTGCCCTTACTATTTTGATATGTTTCATACATTCAGCTGAGAATACAAGAAGGCCATAATTTGGGACCAGCCAATAAACCAGAAGATGTAGTTGCAGATAAAAATGAGTTTGTTTGTCCAATTAGACTGTTGTTTGGTGAGATAAATAAATTAGCAAGGTAATCATAAGCCATTACTCTATCGCCAGAAGCCTTTAGCCCAGAACTGCCACACAGAGTGGCTCCCATTCTATACTGCACCACAATTGGCCTTCACATAGTTGATGATTTGCAAAAGAGTCAGTGACGCTTCCCTTTCTGGGCAAAATAATAGTAATTAACTGGTCCGCCAGGAGACAGGAGGGCACTTGGGGGGGGGGAGAGGGATCAGCAAACAGGCATGATGACCTTATCCCCAAGGAGGGTGGATACAGCAGCATGCATACACCTCCCCCATTTCTTCCAACTTAAAAAAAATACTTGAAGAAGAAACACTATTTTCTAATTCACAAGAAGCCGCAATATGGGATAGTGGTGGCTCCACTCCAATTTACCAAAATACAGCTAACCAGGTAGACAGCAAAAACAGAAAACAGTTCTAAATCTTTGCAGCTTAGCTTGAAAGCTATACTTAGAACAAACCATGATGAAGTATAAAGTCTGAACTAAGCTTGTTATTTCCTTCATGCAGAGGGATCCCTAACTGTTTTCATTTAAGATGATGGCAGATGTCCTTGTAAGTCGCTCCAAGTCCTAGAGAAAACAAGGACTATAAAATTATCAATATTAAAAAATATTAAAAGATATTGAGAGATCCAACAAAACCAATCTTGGATATCCGCCAAGATGATAAAAACAATTTCACTCCAAAATGAACTGACCAGTTTAAACGTGTACCAACGAGGATCTAAACAAGCAATTTCAAGCTATGTCAATTATATGAATTTACACTATTTTTTCTTAGGAATAAATTTAATTTCTCTCTGTTCTTATTTTTCCAGTTTCTTATTTTAAATGTAAAACTTAACAAAGATTAGGCACATTTCCCCTACTATATGTGTTTCACAAGAAATGTCCCTAATCAGAAAGCATTTTGTGCACAGCTGAGTGAATTTTCATTAAAGATATATGAATGTCAAAGAATAATTACATTTTAACACAATTAAAATAGTACCGAAGCATCAATTAACTAGGTTTACATTAAAATGTGAACCCAGCATTTCTCCCCACCTACAGGGGAAATTATTTATTATTTAGGAAAAATCAAATTGCTGTATCAACCAGCTCATCAACTGCCTCAATTTATCCACCCCTCAGAAATAAGTAGGACTTAAAACCACATGAAAAGACTGTAGGATCAGATCTAGACGTTCAAGAAAAGCAAAATATTTTAGACAGCCTTTAGGCCACAGACATTCAAACAGAGCTATAAAACCCAAGGGGCTACCTCATTAATTCATGCTTTTAATGGTGCTCACTGAAGCGGTTAATTATTTCTTACTAGCTGCTAATTGTTTTTCTTGGACATCTAGCTTCCTGGCTTTGCAATTCACCAAGTGCTGTAGAATCTGTCTGATTTTTGAAGGCAGGGAGCAAACACTTCTCTACTTATGAAGAACGTAGAGCACACAAATAATCAAACCTAGGCGACAAGCTGCCGAAGAACTATAGTTCTTTTTGGAAAGGTTAGGAAATCTGCTTTTTTCTCCACTGCAAGAGAAGCGGCACTTGCCATCAATATATTTTTTAAAGATTTGTAACTGGACAATTACTAGAAATCCAATTGTTGCCTTTTTGAGTAAAAAAAGAAATTGCCATCGTCATGCTATAAAAAAAAACAAACCCTTTTTTCTTTAGTCTTTTTATTATACAAAACCACCTAAGTATCCACCAATGGGAATTGGCTGTACTGGAACAACAGAACCAATTATGTTAAATGCTATCAAACAGGTAAATGCAGGACTTGCTCATGACCAAAAGCTACATTACCCAAGCTTCAATTGCTGTGCTTTATTGTCTTATGAATTGGATGCCAGCACACCTTGCAATTTTCAAAAACTAATCTCTAAATTACCTTTCCTTGCAATCTGTTGCTCTCTTTGTTTCCCCTCCCCCCCAGCAAAGTGGCAAGCAGTTCCACCGGTCAGCTGAAGAGGAGGAGGAGTGATTTGTGATGTTCCCTGCCAGCTTCCCACACGCAAAATCATTGGGGAAAGGGGCAGGAATTCAAAAGTTGCCCCTGCTCCCACTGCTTTTTTGCCCGCCTGGGGTCATTCTGTTTCTCTCTTTAGGTAACAGAATATCTTTTGAAACGGTGACCTAACTGGGCATGGATTGCCTAGTATGATTCTAAATATGTTACGAATAGATTTGCTCCTATTTTAAAAAAACAACAACACAAAGACTCCTAACCAAACCATGACCCTGATTCTGATTGAACTCTTATTCCTGCATCTTTAAAAAAAAGTAGCTTTTCCTTTCCTACCTCTGATGGATGACCAAATATAGGTAAACTGATAATACTGGCAATTCAGATCTGTTTAGGCAGTTACGAAATGTTCAGTAAGACAGAAAAAAAGACCTTGACAACCATGGATGGCCATGTCAGGCATCAGAATATGATTCCACACATTCCCCATAACTCCCTGATTCTGTGCTTTATTGCAATGTTGCAAAGAATAGAAACAAGAGCTTTATTGTGTGCTCATGCATGCAGTATAAGATATACTAATAGCTTATCAGAAATTTTGGCTTAATAGCTACATTCCAAGTGTGATATATTACATGCAACTTTGCAGAATGGCACCATCAATTTCAGCTTCAGAGTTTCAACCTCCCATTCATCCACACTATCTAAATTCCTCCAATCACAGTATCAGTTTTTATAAAGATATTACACTAATCATACAGTAGGAGTAAAGAGAGGCCAAGAATCGGGAGGAACAGACAAGATTTCTTTCCCTAAGTCAAAGACAAGGGCAGTAGGAAACAAACAAAAGAACTTCTTACTTGCAATCATGTTTCTCGATTTCAAAGTGAGGGTTGAAGTTGAGAGTGATCTTCTGGTTGGGTTCTGGGGCGTAAATGATCCACTCACAGTTCTGATGGGAAGGGTAGTCTTGTGGATAGCCGGGTGAAGTGATGTAGCCAGCATCTTTGGAATTCAAGCGGCCCCCGCATGGCTGAGCTACAAACAAACAGATAAAAATATCCAAAATCTAAAATAAAGGCAGCAAGTGACACTGGTGATAGTCTTTAATATATTTTTTCTGGTACATGATGATTGAATTATGTTGTTGTGGTTTTGCGTTTTCCATTTGTTTTACTATAGTCAACTGATTGTGGATATTTAGACTTACTATGCACAATAATACCAATCTCAAATAGCAATACAGTCACATCTTAAACAGTCCAGGAAAACAGAGCAGCTATAAATGGGTCCTTCTACAAAAATTCTTTTTTTTTTTTTTGAACACTTAAAACAGAAATCAGATTATCTGGAAATAAATGGAAGTGCCTCCAATTCCTTCCTTTCTTCCATATGGTTAGTCTAACAGGAATCACAGGGAGATTCCAATTTAATAATCCTGCCTTTGATAAAAGAGGAAAATACATAATTTGAAACTGGAATGACTGTAGTCCAACAGACCATCATGCATTCAATGTACAATGCAAAAATTAACTGTCATCTTCTTTTCCTTCCTTGTCCCTGGCAATGCCTTTCCTCAGCAATAGGTCCTCTATTTCTGAGTTACACAATTCAGGACATTTGGATAAATCTTGCATAATAGTGATCACTGTGCTTCAGTGCTTGGCTGTCACTTATCTTGAGAAAGTCTTCTTAGGAGAGAACAGCCAACTGTTCTCCCTCCCTTCATAATTACCATGTCAGATAGGAGTGAGGAAAGGCATTTCAGGGATCCGCGGCAAGATTCAATAACACCTTGGCTTTTGAATGTGCCCAGAGTCTAAAACCCGTCTTGAAATTCACAAGTAGAAAATAGTTATATTCTTTTTGTTTTTTTAAGCAATGGTGTTTATTTTATTTATTTACATGTTTATCCCACCTTTCCTGCCCAGGACTTTTTTCATGGTCTCTTTCAACTATTCTTAATTTAGCTGAAACCAAAAAGAGAATAAAATCTGGCCCAAGATCATACAACATGGGAATTTCACCAAGAAGAAATTCCAACCAGACTTCTCCAGTCCTACTTTAACATTTTAACATAACAATAGCACTCTAAGGCAAGTAGACTATGACTATCAAATCTGATTTTAACAGGGTTTTTTTTTTCAATCTAGGAGCAGCAGAAGCACCAAGGCCCTTTCTGAGGAATAAATCACCTGTAGTCTAAAATAGTTCATCTGCCTAAATGTTGACTCTCCAACCTAAAGTGAGGGAGAAGCAATAAAAAAATTACTAAGCCATCTTTGGCCTTTTACAAGGTAGTTAGATAGCCATAGAGTCTCATGAGCATGCCCTTCTACAAGAAAAGTATCCACCCTGTCCAACAGCAACGCCTGGCATTCAAAAAGGCCTACGTGTCCCACGTAAGGCCCACACATAAAGTCTCTGGCATAGCAAGGAATAGCTTTCAGATTACATCTTAGCATTTCTTCTTTCCGTTACAACCACAAAACCGCACATCCACACCCTACTTTGCGTCCTTTCTGCATGTCTTTCTTTCCTGGCTTTGCCCTCATCTCCTCCCTGTCTCCTTCAACTTCTCATGGCAGGCTAAGCAGTTGGAATTAAAGACTGCAATAATCAGCAGTGGAGGTTTTTGTGGTACTGGCCCACAAATAGCCTGGTAACAATTATATCTTGAGCGAGGAAAGCACTTTCAACCCTTAGTTATGTAACAATGGACCCAGGAGGGTGATTTAATCTTCAAGAAAACATTTCATCTTACAAATGCCACAAATCTGATTTATTATTTCATTACTGGCTTAGGGGGGAAATCTGCATCATACACACAACTAAATGCATACTAAAGAATCTCAACATTTCAATATGGCTGTACAGCACACACCGTTTTTATTTTTACTGTGTCCATCAAAAGGGACAAAACTGCACAGCAGTTCATTGCCACTCCCAGATGATGTCCCCTCAGGGCAGCCTAAGGGGACTGTCCCTCTCTGCATGCCTCAAGCAATTTCCTAGAAGGAACTGGGAAATAATGAAAGCAGGAAAAGTGCAGACTCACCCAAGAATGACATGAAATAGCTCTATCTCTTTGAATTACAGCTTTGGTTCAGATATGACCACAGCTGGAAACAGATAATAAAACAAATACTTTTGAGCAGTGTGACTGCACGTGTATTGTTTCTAGCAGCTGCCCCTGCACATATTTGGAAATATCCAATGACAGCAGAACATTTTAATGTGAGAAAATATAGTGGGCAGGACAGCCATGTCCTCCTAAACAATATGTCCTTGCCCCACAATCAGGCTTAGCCAAACCAAAGAAGCAGCTTTAGTTTCTCCTTCTTGCACTACGCCCAGTCTAGTCCTCTGCCTATTTTTCTAACCTGCTTTACGGAACAAAATGTTAGCCATCAGGATCCAAAGCGATGTGAGTTCCTTGGACTCAAGTTAATAGCGGCCAACATTTGGCAAGAGGTTTTCTACTGGTGCAGTGCTAACAGTTACTAATTTAACTGGGACAGCCATGGACAACCAGAAGAATTTTGCCTGCTTTACCATGCTGCTTCATGTTGGGAGTGGGACTCTTAAGGGTATCCAGCCTAAATAGCATGGAGAGGGGCACACAAACAGCATTAAAAGGAGGTCTTTGGTGCTGGTGAAAACCTTGAGGCAAACAGGAGGCCTTTCATAATAAAGAGATCTCCTGAACACGCCTCCCCCTTCTTCTAGCCTCTGGGGATGCTTTTATTCTACAGACACATGATGCAGAGGAGTAAGAAAACTCCTTAAATCAAGGAACACCAAAAAGCTACTGGTGTATTCCCCACACTCCACCCTATGAATGTAATCCAGTGAAAATAATACTCTTGCTTATACAAACGTCTGATTACTGAAATGCACTGGATGACCTCATGGTCCTTCAGATAAATTGGGGAAGAAAAAGACAGGGGAAATGTTGCCTCAGCTGCATAGATACATAAGCAAAAGGCTGAAATTAGAAACTACTACAAACACAATATAAAATTATACAGTGGCTGTAGTTTTCCATTTTGGGAAATTGTGAATGTTTAGAATTTCAGGACACCACAGGAAAGAGAACAGAATGAAGTAAGTTAAATAGGCTTCAGAGGTTTTACTTCTCTACTGTCAGTCATGCTTGAATGTCACCATCTGCATGAAACAGCATGGCCTTGTGAATTATATATTACTTTTCAGCAGCTACCTCTGGGTAGAAGGACAGGGGCCTTCTTCCCAAGAGGTATTCATTTCCCTCTATTTCCCACTCTGGTTGAATGATTACCACTGAAGGTCCAAACACAGGAGGCCAAGCAAAGAACTCGCTCACCACAAACTGTTTTGTGTGCTTGCCTTTTTCAATTTGTTGCGTTTCTGAATCTAGTTAAGAGTTCAGACCTGATAACTGAATCGCCTAAGAAAATTGGGCCACAGTCTGTAACAGGTATGCGTAATCCTACATTTGGTGCCAATACACAGGGGGAGCCTGGTGCTTTCCAGCAGGGATTAACAATAACACCATTTCTACCATGCTGGTTGTATTAGCAGAGATAATGAGTGACTCACAAATAATCCCATTTCTGCCCAAGAGCTACCCGATCTTCCCAGGGTTCCAAATAAGCAAATTGTATTTTCTGTCACCACTCCGCGCTGTCCAATGAGTACAACAAGGAGGTCACTTTTTTGCAAAAGGTGGGAGGCATCCTGGCTTTCCTTCTTCAGTTCTCTCCAGTTTAGCTCCTCCAAACCTGGGGATTAGCACCCAGAGCACAGAGACTTATTGAGAGAAAGCAAAGGTGGAGACCAAGCCCCTCCACTTGATCTGATTAAAAAAAAAAAACACGTCCTCACCCGGCCAGGAAAAACTATTCTCTGCAAGAATGGTTTTCCCCTTCCCAAGAAGGATAAGACTATCTGCTTTGTCCAAAACCAGCAACGAGGACTGGTGACAACAGGAAACGACTTCTCCACAGGTTGTCTCTGTCTTCTAAACAAGCAACTTGCCACCTCCTGTTCCACAAAGGACTATTTTCCTCTTTCACAATATCTACCTTCCCTCTCAGTCTGCTGGAGGAGACTCACACAAGTTAAATTTCTGGTATTATCTGAGCTAAAAAAAATATAATGTTTAACAAAACCTTTTAATCCTGGGTCTTGACCCAGAACCAAAATTCTCAAAATTTGCCATCTAGGCCTTTTTTTTACACTCTTAGAGAGCAAGTCTTCTGTGAAGACAATAATCTGGCTTACTAATAATCCCTGGCAGATTCTTTTAAAGTCCTGTAGAACCACAGAACGTATTTTATCAGAACCAATGCTGTGCTCAGCTAGCAGTTAGCTATGTAGCAGTGAAGGTTTTAAGTTTTAATTTGCTAGGTAATCCCGCTTTGGAGTCTGAAATTTTTCACCTTTTCATAGGTTGCATCCAGATCCTAGCTGTGAATAGAATCTTCTAGTGTAGGAACCTACTTTTTTGGTTTTTATATTTCATTTTCTTGAAAATCTTCCTTTCATAGTATTTTTTAAAACTCATTTTGACATCAGAGAATACAAGTTCAACAAAAACGCACCATTCATGTATTTCAAAATGTAATTGTTCCTATTTTCTAATTTTGCATACAATTATTTTGTGAGGTTACTTTTCTACTGAATGTTCATTGTATCAATTATTATTATTATATAGAAATAGTTTATAGAGAAACCTACAATACTTTTCAAGTAAAGCCCTTATTAACAAATTGGCAGAACATTCTTGACTTGTGTGTATGCCTGCACATACACACATACACCCACATATGTGAACTGCTTTGTTCTGAAACATGCTGATTGTTTCAATACGTTTCCTTCTACAAACCTCATCCAAATAATTCTATGTGACTTTCCACTTTTGGAAAAAAAAACCGGTATCCAGAAAAAAATCACAAAAAACCATTTAAGAGGTAAGGATATCTAAAAACATCTGGTTTTGCTCCATGGAGAGAATTTTGTCAACACAAAAACATTTATATAAACCCACAGCTCATTTTAAAATTTCTTCTCTTTTCTTGGAATCCAGGCACATGTATGTATGGCATGTAGATTTTATGTATGCAAACTACAGTTATTTTTCAGTTAACGTGATAGATGGACATGTGTGTACAGAATTTATTCTGCCGGTCCTCTGCACACTTTTACACCCTCCTCATAAAAACAGCCATGCATCATTTGCACAAGTTCAAACTCTTCCAACAAAAGCATTCAAGGGACACATTTTATTTTGCCTGGAACACAGACAAAGTAAGCAAAGAAAACTTTTATGACTTCCATATCTCATCAACCCTTCACATTCAACCACATGAATTGCATTCAAGATTCCCACATGCTGTTAAACAATTTTTAAAAATGGAAAAGTAACAGAAATTCATGTGCAGTTTTATAGTTCCCTTTGCATGTTATCTTGAAATGTGAAGCCACTTTATTTGACAGAATATGGAAAGAAAAGAAACCTATAGTCATTTTTCAAACTATGTACCTATGTAAAAAAAAAGTAAACAGAGGTTGCCAGAAATTAGGAGGAAACTGCATGAAACCTGGATCTTAGAAAACTTTGTTTGATAGTTATATTTACAAACACAATGCACTCTTAAAATTATTTTGTTCAAAAAACCTTTATCTGGAGTAATCATGCACAATAAAAGCAAAAGTGTTGGGGGAGAGAGGAATAAAATGAAGTACTGCATTTATTAGGAAAAAACCCAAAATATTGCATTTATCAAGGTCTAAATAAGGGACAAAAGAGGAAATGATGGAACAAGGAGGGGCATTCTCAATAGCAAGCATAATTACCCCATATTCTGCCTATTCACCGTGCTTCATAAACATGTCATCTGTTCATGAAGGGGAAAATCTGCATATTTTCCATGCAACTTATACATGCAGAATACAAGTATCTGAACAACATTTTGTGTGTTTTCTAATCAATATGCATATCCCCAAGCAGATGTTGGGGTGTACAGGTAAAACAGATTTGTATAAAACTCTGGTCAATATGCATAAACTCCAATGAACCTTGAGACAAACAAAAACCATTTTGGATATCATAAAACACACACACACACACACACACACGCACACACATTGAGTAGTTTGTTACCATTCTGAAAGAAATATCTAAAAAATTTCCTCCAGGCATAGCAATCTCCAAAGTTATAACACTATTGTTACAACACTAAGCTTTTAGAATTACATAAACAAACTCTAGTTCATATTAACATCACAGGAGATCTTGCACATCCTTAGTATATTTCTTAATTAAACATATGAGCTGGGGCCAGGATGGGGGGAAAGAGAGAACAGACCCATACTGGTGAAAATATGCTACTAATGTACATAAGCAAAATATTTCTGCACAGAATCTATTATTAAATATTCAAACAGAATTTTCTCCTGGGTCTTGCAGTTTCCCTTTAAATAGTAATTGGAGATGTAAAGTGACTCGATTAAAGTGGAATTGTTATTATTGCAAAGGAAGGCAGACTGTACAAAAAAACCAAGTGGGATTTAAGGTTCAATGCGTCTAACACTGTTGCCATTGAAGACTGACGGTGGGTAATGCTGGAGCTGAAAACCACAGGTGCTTCCTTGCTCAGCCTCGCAAAATTGCACAGATCACCAAAGGAGCAGAGTTACCGGCACGTGTGCCTCTCACCAAGTCTCCCTCTCTTTCTAGAAATTATCTGAGGAGCTCCTGGTACTTCAACAATAAACTCAACTTTGGGTTGCAAAAAAAGGAAAAAGCCAGACAGCTGTCTTCCTAAGCTGCCAGAGCTCCAATCCTATAAGCTGAAAGCCTTATTTACCTTTTTTTCCAAATGCCATGCTCACTCAGGTTCACACTCAGCTCCTGCTTTTTTCTTTGAAGAAAAAAGATTTTCTGCTCATCACAATTCAGTAAAGAGGGAAGATTTCCCGAAGGCAGCTTTCCACCTCAGCGCATGTGTCCATTTATAGTATACTAAGGACTCCATTCGGTGAAGGTTGAGCACCTTTAGAAAAAGTGCTGAACAATCTCAATCCTCAGTGAAGCTGAAAAATAATCAGCACCATCCCATAAAGGCGCTCTTCCACTCCCTCTCCATGAATCATAAATGTCTTTAGCAAAGCCCCGAAGCCATGCAGGCATGAAAGTGTGCTCTAGGTAGGATTCCTCTGATCCATCTGAAACCTGCAAGGTTCTAAGCACTCTTCTGCCAAGCACAGAGGCATCCATTTGCCTTTCACATGTCTTAACAAACAGACATCAGACCACAATCGTTGGCATATCTAGATAGTATTTATAGGCAGAAATCCATTATAGCAATCAATGAAAGTGCACTGAAGCCGTGGTTGGTTAAGCATTCTGGGTATATATGTATTCCATATTTTTAGATTAATAATAGCCACTCTAGAGGGTTACACAAAGCCTAACATAGAAACAAACTGTATTTTACAAAAACACATATCACAATGATTATGTTTAAGATGCTGCATTGGGTCACATATGAAACTTCTTTGCTGAAGCTACCCTGTTCTGCTGTTTTTGAGGCCCATGGTGGGGAAAAAAAGCAAAATATGAATGTATCAAATAAACAAAGATGAATCTTGAAAAAGGTTGATTTCAACAACCAGCATTTGTTCATACTATAGAAACCTCATGGTGATTGAATCTCACCCTGATTCTGACTACAACATAACCAAACATTTATCTTGTTTCTAAGGAAGCTCACACTATGACATGATTTGGGAACTGGGGGTCTTTCTACACTGTCCTTTAGAAGTATCAGAGCCAGAAATAGTCTAAAGATCAGAAGACAAAATCCCAGTAGAGAATTGTAGCCTAGAGGCACGAACAAGGATTGAATAATGTAAATTTGACATCTTCTGATTTAACAACAGTGCTTATGAAAGTAATCTATCAAAGAATGACATCTAAGACAGAATCCACTCATTAGGTAGAAAAAATTGACCTTTCAGCTTGATGGCAAAGGTTATTTGTAAGAGATGCATTTTGCTGGTTTAATTTATATGCAGAGTAGATTATAAGAGATTCCAAATCAAATCAACAATAACACCACAAACATTTGTAAATGTGCTACATCTGTAGGCCATGGGCTTTTTGCAAGCAAATCACAATGCAAGTAAATACATCTAAGAATTCAATTTTTCATTACCAACTGGAAATCCTACCCACATCGCTAATAAAGCCTTCAGTATTCCCCCAGACAGATGTTTAACTAAATTTCATGCTAGAGATGCAGTCACGCTCATGATAGGAGGTTTTCTTTCTCTGCAATCTGAACTAGGATTCTGTTTTTATTCAAAACGACTTCCCCTTGTCATGAGACCACCTCATAAATGCCACATCTGGGCTTAAGCAAAGGAGAAGAACAATCCATCAGCCCAAGAATGTGGTCATTTGACCACTTCCTAAGGCCAAGAGGGTTGGGCTATAATATATCCACTTTATACTGCAAGACAGCCGTGAGTAATGAACTCCTGAAATCTCAACATATGGCTCTATTTTTCCTGTGAACATTCATGAGAAAGAAATAAGATTCAATCTCTCTTTCTTAAGCAAAGATAAAAAGGAGGACCATTTTAAAACATTCATATTCTTATGTATTTCAGGTCTCAATCTTGCAAAGATTTGATGGATGTTTTCCTCCACTGTGTTTGGAAGGATTCATTTATAACACGGATGTCCTAACCTTCCTCCAAGTACCTCAGAGTGGTAAAAATGCTATCTCCTCTTCAGCTTATCATCACCACCTTTTGTTTTGTCATAACAACTCAGTAAAGCAGGCTAAGCAAAGACTGGCCATCATCACCTGTGACCTTCATAGACAATGTGAACAATGTGAACCATTTGCACAATTTGAATTTGTATGCTACAGCTGTTACATGATACAAGACATTCTCTCCACATGGAGAGAAGTAAGCAGTGGGGTACCACAAGGCTCCGTCTTAGGCCCAGTACTCTTCAATATCTTCATCAATGACTTAGATGAGAGAATTGAAGGGGAACTCATCAAATTTGCAGAGGACACCAAACTGACAGGAGTAGCCAACACCCCAGAAGACAAACTTAGGATCCAAAAAGATCTAGACAAACTTGAACAATGGGCCCTATCCAACAAAATGAGTTTCAATGTGGAGAAAAGCAAAATCTTACACTTAGGCAGGAAAAATCAAAAGTACAGGTACAGATTGGGTGAGACCTGGCTTAAAAACAGAAACTGTGAGAGGGACCTTGGAGTCCTAGTGGACAATCACTTACCTATGAGTCAGCAGTGTGCAGCAGCAACCAAAAAAGCTAATATAATTCTGGGTTGTATAACAGAGGCATAAAATCAAGATCACACGAAGTATTAATACTGCTTTATAAAACCCTAGTAAGACCATACCTGGAATATTGCAGCCAATTTTGGTCACCATATCACAAAAAAGATGTTGAGAGTTTGGAAAAAAATCAGAGAAGAGCAACTAAGATGATCAAAGGCCTGGGGACTAAAACATACGAAGAACGGCTGCAGGACTTGGGTTTGGCTAGTCTAAAGAAAAGAAGAAATAGGGGAGACATGATAGCAGTATTCCAGTATCTGAGGGGCTGCCACAAGGAAGAGGGGGTCACTTTGTTCACCAGAGCACCAGAGGGAAGGACAAGAAACAATGGTTGGAAACTGATCAAAGAGAGAAGCAACCTGGAATTAAGGAGAAACTTCCCAACAGTGAGGACAATCAACCAGCTTGCCTCCAGAAATTGTGGGCACTCCATCACTGAAGATTTTTAAGAAGAGACTAGACAATCACCTGTCTGAGATGGTATAGGTTCTCCTGCTTGAGCAGGAGGCTGGACAAGAAGATCTCCAAGGTTCCTTCCAGTTCTATTCTATTCTGTTCTGTTCTGTTCTGTTCTGTACTGTACTGTACTGTACTGTACTGTACTGTACTGTACTGTACTGTACTATTCTATTCTATTCTATTCTATTCTATTCTATTCTATTCTATTCTATTCTATTCTATTCTAGCAGTTCTTGCCATTACATAAGTATCTTGAAAAAAAATCAAATAGGCAAATATGGTTTTAAGAGCACAACTGCAAGCATGTCTTTCAGTCCTAGCTTCTTTAAGAAATAAAATGATAGAACTCTTCAATCAATCAGGCTTGCACATGAGCACATATGTACACAACTGCTTCACCCATAAGCTTGCAACTTGGAAACTGCAGTTTGTGGTTTTCTCATGGTTTACCATATCATTAGAAGACCTTGCCCAAAGTTTTCCAGCAGTAATAACCTTAAAAGTATTTTATAGCATATTTGGGGCTGCCTAGAGGGATTTTCAGACAAGGGTCCATTGTGTGCATAACACAGTAAGCCATAAAAATGCTCTGGGAATTTTCTCCTATAGCAAAAACTCTTCATTTTATTTTCAGGATTACATCTGCATGGTTATGCATAGGACCCTTCCTCTGTTAGTCCGCTTAGAACAGGGGTGTCAAATTCGATTTCATTGAGGGCTGCATCAGCATTGTAGTTGCCCTCGGGAGGTCAGGTGGGCATGGCTGGGGTGAGTGTGGCCAAGTGGTTACAACTGACTGGGTGGGTGTGGCTGGGGTAGGCATAGCCAGCTCAACGTCGCTCATTTTGGGGGGGGCACATGGGGGAGCAGGGGGGGCTGGGGAGGATCCAGGAGTCTCCATGGAGGAGTTGGAATCAGGGTGGGTGCCAAGGCCTGATCCACTGGAGGAGCCTCGCCAACCCTCTTGGACCGCGTGGGGTCCTCCGGGATGGCAGCACAGGCTGCCTGGGGCCCTGGGCAGCGGGCACCTGGCCCAGCCCTTGAGCTCCCGGGGGATTGCCCAGCTGGGCTGGGCTGGGCTGGGGCAGGGGCAGGGCAGCAGGGGCCAGTCCCTTGCTGTCTCCAGGACATCCCCACAGGCTAAATCTGGGCCCTTCGTGGGCTGGATCTGACCTGCAGGCCTTCTGTTTGACATGTCCGGCTTAGAATATATTATTCAAACGAGCATGAATGAATGTATGGTTTGAAGGGGTGGCTTCAAGTTAGTTTTCGACTCTTGGCAACTACCTGGACCAACATCCCTGCCGTTTTCTTGACAAGGGTTTTCAAATTTTAATTTTGGCTACAGACTCCTCAAGCAGAATATCTAGAGTACAGAAATCTCTTCTCAGCAAGATCAGCGTTGATATAGATGTTAGACTCAAAATTCTATGCAAATTTATTTAATGAAGAGGTCTCCGCGATTATTTGTAGTATTTAATTAATGAGCCATTTGGGAAGATGGCATTCAAAGATGCCATTCAGCTAAACATTTCTGCTGTACAGATAACTTGGAATTTGGAAGTTTTCTCTTCCAAAGCCCTATATTACAAATCACACATGTATCTAATGCAGTTTGTCTTTTCACTGCCAATGAAGAAGACAATGGAGAGAAGCCATTTACAGAGGGCCTAAAGGTAGCCCACAATTTATCTTTTAATATTCACATTTTCCTTTTTAACAAACACAGTTGATGAGATTTTACATCCTGCTTAGCCATAATACCACCTACGCTTAATATCATTATCTGTCATCTTAGATCATAAACAAATGTAATTCCAATAGAGTGGATGATTTAACTTTGTTAATTGATATTTATGTCCATTATTGTCTGTGTATTCCTGCAAATGCAGTTCCGGGGCCCTTGATGATAGTTCTGGAATTACAGTTCCTAGTATCATCATCAATCATTGAGTCTCCCTCATACACCGCCACTCTGGTGCCTTCCATGATGCTATCCTCTCTTAGAAGAATCCATGTGGGGCTGCCCCGTGCAAACT